TACTTGACCAAATGAAAAGACGCGTGATGCGAATGAAGCTTCATACTTGATACTTGTCTTCTAATTTTGTCGAATATTACTTATTTGACAGTAATTGTTTCGGACGGATGTCGGACGGAGATCGAGAGTAGACCCCCAGTTCCGAATCCGAGAAATGACGGTCCGAAATGTCACAGGGATAATTTTATCTCTAGGTGTACAAGCTATATATAGCCTGTCTCTGAAGTTGCAAAACCACAGAGGCAGACAGACCGGTGCGATTAGGACGGCTTCACAAAGGTGGTGAAGAGGAAGCGGCAGCCCACCAGCCCTAACTAGCGTCGCACAGCACCGACAGGACCGAGAACTTCCTGCTGCGTCCGACCATACCGACGACGCTGCTATACCTGTCACGATTGCATTACTCCACGACGTTTAAGGAGATAGTGGAGTACATCAGACATAAAGCCAAATACACCCTGAGGGTCGAGCGGTTGGAGTCCCGCCAAGTGCAATTCGTGTAGATTAGTTAGAAATAGTATTTATGTTTTTCCTTAAGGCATGAGTGTTTTATTGTATTATTATGCATGTTAGTCTATAAGGTATGTATTTATGGGTCTTTGAAACCTAAATACAAATAAATAAATAAATATACTCATATTTTCTTGGATTCGAATCTTAAACTTAAACATTTCTAGATTTGTAAAATCTCGGATACGGAACGAATACAATCGGATGTAGTACGCAAACGTGGTAATTATTTCGGATGGATGGCGGATACATGAGTAGACCCCCGGGTTAATTAGTATATTTACCTGTATACTTTGCTCCTTGTTTTTAGGTTATTTTTTAAGGATAGTGTTTATGTTTCTTTTTACAAGTCATTGCAAAATTAAATTAAATTCAAATTTCAGAAATAATTTAAATGTGGATACTACACCAGGATGAATGGATATGGGCAACACTATCTATAAGTAACAAATTATCAAAAAGGTTCTGTTTGTGATTTGACAGTATTTTTTTGTACATATGTACAAAAAAAGCTATACCCCTGAAGATTTACTTTTGAGGCTGACACAGTGGTTATTTACATAGTTACCTATTTGTATAACTACATAGTGGTATTTACATAATCTCGCAAATCTACACAATTCTAGGTTGTCATTAATTTGTAGAATTTTGGTTCCAATATAATATTGATTTGAAATATAATAGGAAATGAAACTATTTTTCCGGATTTAAATCCCATGGTCACGGTAAAGGATATGTAAAGGGCCCGAAACGTCGGTTTGCTTGAAAAAACAAATATACGCGATTTAAATCCGTAAAAATTGTTTCATTTCCTATGTGTAACAATCGCAAAAACCTAAGAAGTTGAAATATAATGTTCCTTTTTTAACCGACCAAAAAAAAGGAGGAGGTCCTCAATTCGACTGCATGTTTCTTTTGTATGTACGTTACGTGATAACTCCGGTTGTGAACCGATATTGATGATTCTTTTTTTATTGGAAAGAGGGTACCTCAGATGTGGCCCCATTTAAATTTACAGAAAATATTCCTCCTCTAAGGGTGGTAAACTAGGAGGTGAATGACTTTTGAGGTCGGGTTTTTTAGTACTCTGTACTGTTTTTTGTATTTAAATAAAGAGAAACCTAACAATTTGTATGTTTCTTTAATGTTACTCAAATTTCAACTTTACGTTGTCCTAACTAAAGTGTGTTTTTTTTTGAGTAATCTATTTTCCGATAGGGATTTGACAGAGAAGGAATTGACAGATGGCGGCCATCTTGGTTTTTTCTGACACAGAAAATATTGAAGTTGTCAACATGAATCACCTTTCGCTCCCAGAACGTCGTCAAATTTTGGAATTTTACATCAAAAATGGCAAATCAATTCGCCAAACGTACCGTGATTTGATACCAATTTACGGCCAACATCACCGGCCAACCGAAGCCAATATTCGCTTATTGATGAAAAAGTTCGACGAGACGTTTTCTCTGTGTGACGTGTCGCGTATTTCCTACGCTCGTTCAGTGCGTACCGATGAAACCATACGAACTGTGAACGAGAGTGTCACCGAAGATTCGAATGTCTCAATTCGGCACCGCGGTCAAGAATTGGGCCTTACAGCGTCCACTACGTGGAAGATTTTGCGTAAAGATTTGGGTTTGAAGGCGTATAAGATCCAGCTGGTCCAGGAGCTGAAGTGGCATGACCATCCGAGACGCCGTACGTTCTCTAACTGGGCTCTGGCCAAGCTGAGAGATGACCCAGATTTTCATCGGAAAATCATCTTTTCGGACGAAGCACATTTTTGGCTAAAAGGGTACGTAAACAAGCAAAATATGCGGTATTGGAGCGCAGAACAACCCGAACAAGTTCTGGAGACGCCTTTGCATCCGCAAAAGGTCACAGTTTGGTGCGGCTTGCATGCAGAAGGCATCATCGGTCCTTATTTCTTCAAAAATGAAGCCGGAGCCAACGTTACGGTGAATGGCGCGCGATATAGGGAGATGTTGGAAGGCTGGTTTTTCCCAAATGTGGCCACGCACGACCTGGGCGACTTGTGGTTCCAGCAGGACGGCGCCACGTGCCATACAGCCGGTGACACAATGGACTTATTGAAGGGAACGTTCGGCGATCGGATTATTTCGAAAAACGGCCCCGTCGATTGGCCGCCAAGATCTTGCGATATCACGCCGTTGGACTTTTTTTTGTGGGGCCATGTGAAGGCGCAAGTCTATGCGGACAAACCGGCGACGATTGAGCATTTGGAAGCCAACGTTGAACGCGAAATTCTCGCCGTACGCCCAGAAATTCTCGAAAGAGTGATGCGAAATTGGACTAATCGAATGGCACATCTAAAACGTAGCCGCGGTGGCCATATGTCCGAAATCATTTTCAAACACTAAATTAAAAAGAATTTCCTACGAAATAAAGCCGTTTGCCCGATCAAAATGTCATTTTTTCTGTGTTTTATTTAAAAAAAAAACCGATTGCTCAAAAAAAACACGCCTTATTATGTCCTAAATAGTTTTTTCATGAACTTATATTAGAATCAATCAGAAAATGATATTGATAACCAAGAAACAAAAATCGTGGTACGTGGTTATAATCAATGGGTTATGTGAATTAAAAATTGAGACTATGAGTGTTAACTTGACGAAAAACGACGATTTAAGCGAAAAACACACCATAACGAAAAAACTTTGTTACTTAACAAGTAAATGTCATTACGATAATTAGTTTTTTCAAGGTTTATTGTGTCTTTAATGTACTTACAGCTAAAAATATCATTCCATAGGCAGACATGGAACTATGGCCACTTAAGAATGACATTCTAATGTCATTGAAGATGTCCCTTTGGTTTCCTTTGCAGAAAAATTCGTACGGTTCTATATATCTGTTCTGCCATTGTGGAGAACTGCAGTTCACTGATGGTTGGCAAACCTGGAAATTACATGTAAAAATTTTAATAGGCGTCTCTATATTCATTACTTGGTGAAACTTGCAATTTAAAGCTCTGAGTGGCACTGCAACTCCTATCTATGTACAGGCATGTCGCTTACCACCAGGCGCAAAACTTCTTTGTCCCGTTACTTGGTGTCATTATGTATTTATTTATTTATTTTTGGCATAGGTATAGAATACAAACTGTGAAGATGCTATGCCGACTAAGCCACGGAACGAACCAGCGGACCTCACGAATTTTTCTATGTGCTCGTTGTCGTGTATTGGTATAACAAAGCTAAGATACGTCAAAAGTGATTTAGTAATATGAAATTTTATAATTCTCTTCTTTATGCATAAAAAAGTTATAGACTAATTTCGTCCGTAGAATATTTAAACTTCTGTCTTGAAAAGTTGTTATTTAGCCGATGTGACCTTATATTACATTAAGTGTGTGAATTATTTGGATGGAAGTTGATATTTAACCACGATGACCTGATGGTTGGCACTGAAGGGGCTGAATTTATGAGTCTGATTCCCGATAGGACCAATTTAGGAAATTAACTTTTCTATATTGATTGGTGTTCGTTTGAAAAAATGTTTCGCAGACAAAAGTTACCAGTGAGCGGCCCTTTTTTGTTCTCATCTTTTTACTTTGACTGTCATAAAATAACGCAACATACAATCTAGTAAAAAATTATGAAATGATTTAAGAGCAGATAAAATTTAGGTAAATGTTAAATAATTTTTTGACTAAGTAACGTTTTGTATTCTAGCCGATTGACTAAATAAACAGACTTGTGTCCAGGGGGCATAGAGCATATAACCAGAAATAGACACGAAATGTCATATAATTTGTTTGAAAACTATTCTGCCAAATCATTACTGTGACAACTGCGCTCCGGTTGGCCAGCCCGAATTCGAAACAATTGACGTGTGTAGTCAATTGTGTCACTTCAAATCGACCAGTTTAACTTGAGCTTTGATATGATGGACGAAAATTGAAAATTACATATTTAACTACCGATGAAATGTGATTCCATTTGTTTAGTAATTAGATGTTTTGCTGTTTTTCCCACACCACCGAATGGAACAGCCGCCCATAGTTAGAGATATTATCTTTATTACAATAAATACAGAATATATGAAGACGTACACACAGGTCAATTGTTGGCGCTGTACTATTTCAGTTTTCTAATTTGTGATTTCAGCGCAAACGATAGTTGACATTTAAAAGTGATCTAAGGCCCATTTGCCTTGTGAGTTGCCAGGGATAGATGGCCCTTATTTCGTCTCTATTTCTGGCTACATACTCGATGCCAGGGGATCTACTTTCATCCTCCATCCGACATCCGTCCGAAACAATTACCATCAAATAAACTCGACTATTTAGTCGAGTTTATTATATAGATATTAGAAGACAGTATCAAGTATGAAGCTTCATTCGCATCATGCTTCTTTTAATTTGGTCGAGAATTACTTAGTATTACTTATTTGATAGTAATTGTTTCGGATGGATGTTGGACAGACAACGAAATTACAGGGCCTGAAGTACGTCCATGCGTGCATAGTGTTATTATTATATTTAGGCTCTAGGAATAAACTGAACCCTATCCGTATGTTGGTACAGTCCCATGTCTTCTACTATATTTTGATTACAGTGCCCTTCAACCCAACCTTTTACTTATACGGTAAAAGTACTATTATTACCTGTGCAAGCAAGCCTGCCCAAGGACCTTACTAGTCAGGTCCTGACCTCGGATCAGCCCGTGAAGACGTATCACTGGCGGAAGGCTCTGCCCGGGCGCCTGCTATACCTGGTCTTACTAGGGATACCGAGGTCCTTCGGAATTCTCTATGCATCGGGTGAGTAGGGGCAAAACGTATTGGTGCAGCTCCCGCATCCTCGACATTTGCTTTGATTATAGTGACCATCCCTATCAACCTCTTGGTTATGCGAGAAGTGCACTATAATCTGTGCAAGCACAGGGACCTTCTAAGTTCAGCTCTAGACCTCGGATCAGTCAATGTACAGGGTAATGTATTGGTCCAGTTTTTTTGTTAATACCAAGTGACTGAACGTACAAGTCGTGCGCCTGGTGGTAAGCGACACGCCTGTCTATAATAATTGCAGTGTCACTCAAGAGCATTAAATCACAAAGATTTGAGGGGCATTGCCACTGCGCCCGTCAGCCAGAGACATAAGTTGACAAATCACATGTGCCTGTGTGTAAATTTAGCCATTCACTAAAACATGATTTCGGTAACATGTTACCTTTCAAAGAATTATTTTTTTTACATTTGGAACGCATAATTTTGTTAAACAAATACTTTTATGGACATACAGATCTTACCGAAAGAAAACAAGGCCTTGGTCTCCCTATGACCTTCTTGGTGATGTTAGTGATGAGCTCTGTGAAGCATAGGCCAAGAGCGAAGGAGATTGTGACACAGTAGAAGCCTCGCAGCCAGGTGGGTATTGGTACGCCGAAGCAACGGACATTCGTACGTTGCTTTCGCAAGAGTGTCCACTCGCAGATGAGAAACTGAAACGGCATTTTCATTCACAGGTTTAAATCACACTTAAAAATAATATTAGTTATAAGGACACATCTTTGGAATGGTTGCATTTTAAATTTAATACATAAATAAATATGCAAATATTAGAAAACATCACACACGTTACTCCGATCCAAAGTATGTAACTAAAGCACTTGTTGTAATTATTAATAAAGATCGAACACTTAGAAAAAAATCCCTTCGATCCGGCCGGATTCGAAACGGCGTTTGCAAGCAAACCGTGACAGACGCTATGCCAATTAAGCCACGGAACGACGCACATTTTTATGTCTCAGGTCAAGTTATGTCTCAGGGTGACGGGCGCAGTAGCAGTGCCCCTCAGATCTTTGCGATCTAAGAGCTTTACACACGGTGACTTTTGTCAGCGACGCAAACGTGATGCAAACGCGATGCAGTCGCTAATCGGACTGCCCTTACACACACGCGCGATTTTACACACACTTGGAATTTATAGGTGATTGTATCGATGCTATTGCGCGTTTGCGTCATTGCAATCGCAAGTGTAGCGATGCAATCGCGCGTTTCATAAATTTTTTTCGCGTTTGCTTAAGCTCTGAGTGGCACTGCAACTGCTTTGGACAGGCGCGTAGCTTACCATCAGGCGCACGACTTGTCCGTCCCGTTAAAAATACTGACGACTTGACATTATAAAAATACTCATAGTACAAGGAAGTTGAGACCAAGTAAATAGGTGTGGTTGTATAGAACTTAAACTTAGAAATTAAAATAACACACCGCAGAGGTTCGACCCTACGACCTCTGAAATGAGAATCAATCGTTCTTCCCTTCGGCTACCACTAGCAAAACACAAAATAAGTATTACTTACACTCAATACAGGTATACCAATACTGCACAATCTAAGCATGTACACGGGCACGGTGTCTGTTCTATACGGATACATGATGCTCTCGTCGCCGCAGAAGAAACCCCGTTGGAACGGGTTCCAGAGAGATCCTGCCACTGCTAAGGCTGCGATCACTGAAAGTTAAAATAAATGGAATTCTTATGCAATGTTCGCAACTGTGCGTTTTCATCATCATGTTGCGTTTTTTTCTGGCGTATGCGTTAAATGTAAGAAACCCGCATTTATTAGCTTAGTCAGCTCTGCCAAGCCGCCGCGACAGCATCCACTAATTAGGACAAGCGCCACGGTAGCGTACAGCTGACAACGCTCTAGACTAGAATTTCTACATATAACATAATACTTTAAGTTGGATTAAGGTGATTTGTATTTTAGAACTCGATGTAATTAGACTGGCATTAGAGTAAAAGTATTTTTTTTATCAAAACTCGTCTCAGTTTCTTAATTCATGCGGTGCCCCAACACAGTCCATGCAACAGTTACTGTTGTGCTCCTTGTGTCCTAATACCTGTACGAGGGAAGATGTTTACGCGGCCACGGACTGCGCAGTCAAGGTAGCAACGTACTATTCAGGGTCAATATAGTTCTAAAATAAAAGAAGTATCGACACGGTACGAAGAAGAATTCATGCGCTAAAGTGGTGACAATAAAGTTGGTTTCGTAAGAATGCGTTCGTCTGCGACAGTCCGTGCGTTTTACTAGACAAAATGGCGGAAGATAAAATTAAAACATTGAAATTACGACTGAATAAAACGCACCGTTGTAGACATAGAACTGTATGCGTCATGTAGCAATTAATATTAAAACGCTTGACGCAAGAAGAAATTAAAATGGAGACACAGGCAGGATGAACATGAAAGCGCACTAGTGTGGACAAAACTTAGATATATAAACACATTGTTCACTTTCACTAATTAAGACACAAGTACAGATAGGGGATAGAAGTAAAATGATAAAATTGATTCTATTGTCATTATTATTTCCGAAAACTTATTAAAAAAATCTTGTACCATAGGTACAAAATAGTATTACAAAATTGGTGACGTAACGGTGTCGTCACACATAGAAACATAAACATAAGCGTGAAGTGTCGAACTGATTAGGTACAATAAGTAATGGAAATGATGATTAAAATATTATACATTAATTATAGAAGTGGCGGAACTAACAATGTCTGATTGCTATTTACACGTACTGTAGCAGTACGATGTTGAAGGGAGATTGTTTTTTATGATGCTAAGTAACGGGGTGAACAAATCGTGTGTCGAGTGGTAATGACACGCCTGTTAATGACAGTCGCAGTGCCACTCGGAGCTTTAAGTCGCTAAGATCTGACGGGAACTGCCACTGCGTCCGTCCTTGAGACTTAAGTTAACAAGTCCCATGTCCCTGTAATTTCACCATCATCCCTACTCTTCAAAACCTGAACGCAGCACTGCTCACATTACTGCTTGGCCTTCGAAATGGGGAAGGTGGCAGTAGCTGGTGGATAGGATAGGATAGAATAGAATAGGAAACGTTTATTTGCCACAATACAGTCATTATGCAGATTTAAAATAAAGATGACTACAGTGTATTCAACCTGCAAGCTGGTGTGCAAATATTAATTGAATTTAATATTTGGTCACTCTGAGACATAAATTAACAAGCCCCATGTGCCTGTAATATCACCCATTTTTATTAAATTAAATTAAATAAATAACGCACACACTCAACATAGCCCCGCACTAGGGAATCCCTGTGTCGCGGGTGCCATGGACACACACATAGACAACCACAAATTACACCCAAAGTCACGAGAGAAATAATTGTAGGCCATACAACTATTTCTCCCGGCCCGGGAATCGAACCTGGGACCTCTGCGTGGCAGTCCGGCATGGTAACCGTTCGGCCACGGAGACAGTTAAAACCCATTATAATCCATTATAATTAATTTCAATTTCATATTCTGTGTAGTCCAAAAAATTGTATTTCAAATTTAATGAATTCGAATTAAACAAAAGAACTTGTTCGTCACTTGTCACTTCATATCATTAAAAAAATCTAAATACTTTCCAGCTAATTAAAAGAACAGCACGATGGGGTGGGTGCATGAAATGTACCATTCTGTATGTCTGGCTTATTCTGGCCAACAATCGACGAATACCTTACACTATTGACAAATGCTTACACCCGTTATAGCGTTTTTGCAATCGATGCAACAAGAATGAATGAACAGATGATAATCAAGTAGATATGAAATCGTTAGGGTTTAATAAAATAGTGTAATGATAATATTTCATACATTTACGAATAATTTTAACACTTCCGTGTTATTCTTAACTCTGAGGGAAATAATTTAGTTACGTCTATCGTAACTAAAAAGTACCTGAAGTAAATAAAAATAACAATTCATTTAGTGATTTCAAGCGCCATTAAACTGTAGTTGTAAAAATATATTCTGCTGGCGGCGTGGCGTGTCGTTAATGGGCAAAGTTTTGGGATAAATGTTAATTTAATAACTATAGGGAATAGAATAGAAATATAGATTTGAAAACCAAAATTTAGCAGGTTCTCTATAGTACTTAAAGAGAAATACATCCTTATATAAATTATGTGCAAATTAGAAATTTTATTCTTAAATTATTCCTCATAGGTTTTTAGTTTAGTCTGTTTTTGGGATTTTATATCGGGTAACGTACTTTCTATCGTGTAACGAATTAGCACATTCTTTAGACTATATCCTTAGGTGTACCGTATATATTTTATAAGATCATTATTTAATAATAAATACGTAAACCGTTTAATCTAGCAAAACAGTTTATCGCGCTTCTCCTCCGAAGTCTCGCTATAAAAAATCAGATGGTACTCTGATCAATCTCTTTCTTTACGCAGGTCGACCTCTTTCGATACAGTGATTGATATCTTTCGCAATACATTTTTTTTCTTATTTTTATTACCTCTAAATTTAAGTGCGCATTTGACCTCCACTTCAAGTTCTGGAAACTGATGATGAGGTCGACGATAGACGATGCACATCTAAACCTATTCATTCTCACCTTGAAAAGGCCCAAGTTATAGCTTATAGGGAATAAGTCTGCAAGTACGGATTTCCACTCCACAGCCGTTCGCCATATAATTGAACAAAATAAATACATTTTTATTGTAGTTCCTGTCTGATATTAGCAGTCAATTCAACCTCAAATGGCTTTGATTGATTCCGATCAATCTTTGGAAAAAATATATAGTAAAATTGCGGATATACACGATTGCTATACGGTGTGAAAACGCGATTTCTAAAAATTTTCACGATAGAAAAAACACAAACTTAGCTCGAAATTTTACATATACCAATGATTTTCTTTTCAACTAAACTAAATAGAACATGTATAGTATTTGATATATATTTTTCAAATGGATTTAATTTCGTTTGTAAAAAATAAATTCTGAAATAAAGCCAGTGTCCCCGCCACTCGACCCGCGCAATAGAACCAATTCAGTACCAACGGGAAAAATTTTATTTCGTGCATCGATAGTATCGACTCTTAAAGACGATTCATGTAGAAACAAATAATTATACTTTGGTTCGTACAAAATAATCAATAAAAAAATAATCCAAAAAAATACATAATACAAAAATATCAGTCGTTAAAAACGACATATCTCGTAGTATTACGTATTAAAAGAGATCGACCAACGTAAAGAAAGAGATTGACAATAAAATCCTAAATTATTTTTTTTTAAATTTTTGTCATAGCTTATTTAATGATAAACAAGAGAAATATCTAGGATGAATAAGAAAAATAGTACAACAGGAAAACTTACCTATACCGAGAAAAAATCCATCAAGCACAACCTTCCGTATCATCTGTATCGACATTTCGTTTTTTGACATGTTTTAATCAAACTATATTATCTTCTAACACGGAAAAAATTACTACAGTTCTAATGAATTTATTTCTTTTTGCACCGTTTTTCTATTTTTGAAAAAACATATGCATTATTAAAAAAACGTTGTTATGATTTAATTATTTCTTGTTTTTTTTTTTCTCTAAGCTAACGTAAATAAATAATTATATTAGTTTAACATTGGTTTAATATAAACTTTCAAATAATACTCGCAAATACGTTTCACGTCCGCCACTTACAACAGTCAGTACAATTGTAATTGTACAGAGCTGATTCATTTCATATATACTGCAGTTGTTGATGTTATCAGCGTAGATAACGAATAGTATTTTGATACTATAGTACATCAACTGATGATATATTCACTTAGAATCATATTTATTTTACTTGTAAGTATATATAGATTGTTAATATTCTGATTATTAATAAAATGTATGTCAAAAATAAACATTATGAAAAACAGTAGTTCCGTAGGAATGAAACTATTTTTCCGGATTTAAATCGCGTATATTTGTTTTTTCAAACAAACCGACGTTTCGGGCCCTTTACAGGTCCCATGGTCACGGTTGACTGTTGATTTAAATCCGGAAAAATAGTTTCATTCCTATGTATAACAATCGCGAAAACCTAAGAACTCGAACAGTAGTTCCGGTTTATGAAGCGGAACTACGTTTTTAGTGATGAAGAGACTCAGTCTTTTAAGGCCTTTTAAAAAACCTTGACTAATTTTTAACGCCTCACGACTAGTCTAGTCTTTTAACCCTCAAGTCTTGAGTCATAAGACTGAAACTGAAGACTAATTCGAGTCGAAGTCTTTTACCCCTAAATAAATAAATAAATAACGCACACACTCAACATAGCCCCGCACTAGGGAAACCCTGTGTCGCTGGTGCCATGGACACACACATAGACAACCACAAATTACACCCAGACTCACGAGAGAAGTAATTGTAGGCCATACAACTATTTCGCCCGGCCCGGGAATCGAACCTGGGACCCCTGCGTGGCAGTCCGGCATGGTAACCGTTCGGCCACGGAGGCAGTTAACCCCTAGGAAGCTTAAAAGACTTATAAGACTGAAACGACTAAAATGACTAAAACGACTAAGACGACGTGCGCCTCATAGCCTCGGGAGTCGCGAGTATGGCGTGATTTTATTTCTAGCCACAAGGTATTTATTTTACGATTTTTATTATAAGTAAATAAACGTGATTATTTACTACTTACGTCATTTTTATTTTTCAACTTCGGGTTTAATAAGACATAAAATAGGTACAAGTCGTTTGCAAACAACTCGAGTCGTTTAAGTCTTTTGCGTCTTAGTCGGTAGTTAGTATAACGACTGAGTCTTATTAATAAAAACTCGAACCCCCAGTCTTAATTTTAGAGTCGAGTTCTGGAAAATGGAGTTGAGTCGTTATAAAACGCCTTAAAAGACATATCATTTCATTATCATTACATATCGACTGTGAACTGGCAACTGGTACTATCTCAATTTTTGACAACGTTACAGGTGAAGAAAAAACTTGTTTGCGTCATTTATATAACATCTGGTTTATTAAATAATACCGCACACACTCAACAATAATAAGTTATAATAAAAATAGTTCAGCCAGTTCACAGTCGATATGGGAAAAAAAGAATGAATAAAAAAGAGGAATTCCTCAATTCGGCTGTACTTTTTTTTTGTTACGCGATTCCTCCGATATGTGTGAAGCGGTTTCGATGTTTCTTTGTGATGATTGGAAAGGGGGTACCTCAGTAAAGTGGTCCCCTTCAAATTTGAAGAAAATATATTAATATAATTGCCTCTAATGGTGGTAAATTAGAGACCTTACACTAACTTACTTACTCACAAACCTTAGAGATACTTTTTTTTAATTATAAAGTTATAATTATTATAATAATGGTAACGAACTCTCGAGGAAGGAGCAAAAGAAATGTCACGATCTCTATAGATCCACTGTTTACCCGTCCTCGTCTTCCTTTAGTTATTAGCTATTTATTGTTTGATAGATAAATAAATAGTTGAATAATAAATGTTATTACAGTCACTGCTACTGCTTAGTGTTACAGCGCCTGTCGCCTGTCACTGGTTATTACAATTAATATTACTATGGGTTTCTGGGTAATTTTCAGATTAATTTCTCTGTATAATTTCGGTGGAAATTTTTATTATTTAAATATTCTAGAACGTCATCATGATTTATTATTTAATGTTCAAGTGTCCTGAAATAATATTTAATGTAAATAATTTACGATAACAGACACGAATACTTAAATAATAAAAATTGCCACCGTAATTAGAGAAAAACCTGAAAATTACCCCTCTACTTCAGATTTTCGCCTCTATCATGGCCTAAATGACAAATTTAGAATTTTTAAATGAGAGAGGTCGTATCTACGGCAATGGCACAGTCGGCCGGGATCAACGACTCAGGGTCAAGAGTTAGCGTGCGGTACGTATCGAGCAGCACCGCTTTCTGCATTTGTTCTGGAAGCGATTGACACATAAATTCAACCGCCTCAAGTTGCTGGTGAGGCAGGCTGAAATTATAAATAAAACAAATGGGATTACTTAATTACAGATCATATTCCTTATTACTATAATCTTCTCAAGAAACACTTGTTACAGTATGTACATACATACGTATGATACTTGTGGTGCCGACGAAATTAACAAATCCACTTCTGTGGCGATAATTTCAATTGAATCTATAATACAAAACCTCATTAAATGGTTTCACAAAGCGTAGAGCCAGCGAAATCATGGACTTAAGAAGTTTAAGATATTACAACTGGACAACCAAAATGTACTACTACATTTTCTTGTTTGGCAAGTAACTAGAACTTATGTACAACACTCGTAATTATAAAGTATCCATAATATTGATTGTGAAATAATTTATGTCATTATTTCAAGTGAACAATAACAAAGTTAGATTTTATCTACCTTTGTTATTTTCTACTTGAAACACGTTGATTTTCTACATAACTGAATCATGTGAAGTTGTAAGAAGTATAGTAAATTACAGTAACGACTTAAGGTAGGCACTACACAAAGAAAATTCATTTCAATATTACGAATTCAAATATTTTATTAGGATTTTTTTTATTTATAATAATTTTTCGAGAATTATGTTACAATAACGAACATTAGCCTTACACGTTCAATTGAAATTTTATTCTAGAAGAGAACAAAAAATAAAAAAAGAACAAGCAGAGACTTTTCAAAAAGTACCTGCTTGATCCTCTGCTGATGCCTCTTTCACAAGGAGTTCTACTGCTACTTAAAATTCACTACAATTACTATTCTTCTTGTCAATAATCCCAAACTCGCAAACGATTTGGAGTCCCTTCTACGGAGAGAGAGAGACGTTGGCTCTCTGTGTGTGTTCTACTGTCTTTAAGACGGAGAGTACTGTGAGGAACTTTCGAACTGGTACTACCAAACAAATCATAAAAGAACGGGATGACTTCTCCAATAAGAGATATAAAATAATTTTATACTACGATGAAATGTGAATTCATTCACGATATCAATCGAAACCTGATATTTATCCAAGTGGTACAGCATTCAAAGTTGTTTCGAATATACTAACTTTAATTATAATAATGTACTAGTATTATAGCACTCTATCTTCTCTAACCACACTTAACTTTTCCGAATGCTTTTTTATCTATTCTATGCTTAAAACTGAACATAGATGTATGAGTATACGAGTAAGTTTACCAGTAGACTGCCACTATAATAAGTATACTTAAATTTTTAAACATGGTGGTGCATTCAAGGTCATCAGCGACCAGCTGCAAAATGTCTTTCATAAAAAAAAGTCAAACTGCGAGCTGTGGAAGTCAATAACAGGTTAATTAAAAAAACGACCAGAAATTTTGATGAAATAAAAATAGTGTTGACTTAAAAGTTCCACTTCGCTGACTCGCTCAGTCATAATAGTTATTTGTTATGCAAGGCTGCAAAGTTGTTGTTTGACGCGAGTGCTTCCATTGAAACCTGAGGAAGCGAAGGAAGCTAATATTAGACAAAAATAGATTCCTAAGTGCAGCGAGGGTTACTAAATGAAATGAAAATGAAAATGAAAATGAAAATGAAAATGAAAATGAAAATGAAAATGAAAATGAAAATGAAAATGAAAATGAAAAATATGTTTATTTCTTTTTTACATGTACTTAAAATTAGAGTTTACAATTGGGTCTTCCTTTTAGGTATCATCTACCTGTATCAGGAAGGCCCGCTCTTCCATTGTACTTTAATCTTAATAATAAACCTAGTACAGAAATGAATGAATTTATAAATGTAATTATGTATGTGAATATAATTACATATATATATATATATACATA